CCCCCCCCGGGGGATCAAGCCTGAAACCCAGGGCATGTGCCTTGACTGGGAATCGAACCACAATCTCCTGGATCATAGGTCGATGCACAAACGCTGAGCCATGTCAGCAGGGCAACCTTGGTAATTTTAGAAGTTGAAAACACATACAGCATGATTATATGTCTGTAGAGTTCTAAAAACATATAAAACTAAAAGATATATAATTTAAGAAAAAATAAGAAAATGACCAATACCGAATTGAAGATACTGGTTGCCTTGGAGAGGAAGGAATTACCACCAGAGGCCTCCCTCTGACTAAAGGTCAGAGCGTTTCTTACTTGGGTGAACACTGAGAGTATTTGCTTTGCCCTAGCTGGTTTGACTCAGTGGTTAGAGCGTTGGCCAGCAGACTGCAGGGTCCCAGTTTCAATTCCAGCCAAGGGCACATACCTCAGTTGCAGGCTCCATCCTGGCCCCAGTCAGGGTGTGCACAGGAGGCAACCAATCGATATCTCTCTCTCACATCAGTGTTTCTCCCCCCTCCCCGAAAAGCAAGGGAAACAATACCTTCCGGTGAGGATTAAAAAAGAGTGTTTATTATTCTTTAATATCTACAGATATCATATATGCATGTGCACACACAGATTTCTGAATAAGCACTACTTCATAATAAAAATTTAATTCCTTCTGGAATGAGGTATGGCATAAGTACATTTAGAAATAAGAACTATCATGTGGCAATAAAAGAGCTACACGAAGCCCAGGAAAACATCTGCATTACCAAGATACCAGGAATCTGAGCAGGGAAGAATTCTCTCTCATTTATGTGGGGTCCTTACCTCACCTAGTCAGAATGTCTCCTTCAACTATTTCCATTCCTACTTCTCACACTAGAATTCTTAATATCTTTAGCCATCCAAATCTTCTCCATTCCCAAATTATGCTAAAGAGTTTGGACAGCGAGAGACACCCCACTGCTGGAACCTATGTGCTCCCAAAGTCTGGGTAGCAGTAACAGTGGTGCAGACAGTGGAAGTTCATCTGAAAGTCTATCTAGATGTATTCAGCTCTTGCATAAAGAGTGAGAATGCAATTACTAAAGTAGGAACACATTTACTCTTATCTGGGTGGAATGAGCACACCAGCTGGTATGCCCATCCCAGCTGTGTTTAGCCTAGAGCAGAAAGGCATGACCTTTCTCTGCATTAACAGTAGAATGATACCATACTAAGACTCACTGGAGTGTGAAGGGACAGGATGGTGGCCAGTGTTTCCGACCAGGGGAAATTTTGTTCTCCAGAGGCTTTTTGGCAGTGTCTGAAGACATTTTGTATTTCAAGGACTTTGGGGTGCTACTGCTACTGACTTGTAGTAGGTAGAGCCAAGGGAATCTACCAAAACCCTACAATTCATAGTACAGTGAACACAACAAAGAGTTATCTAGCCCAAAATGTCAAAAGTGCTGAGGATGAGAAACCCTGAGCTAGACAGAAGCACATATCTCTAAGGGTGGGGTCTAGAAAATGTCTCCAGAGGACCAGGGGGAGGAGAAACCCCTTCTCCTGACAACTTCCACAGTATCTTGAGATTCCAAATCTGCACTTGATTTGCTCTGTTTCTGGAGGTGGGTGGTAAATTGCCCAACCTTTTCTCAAGGTGATATGTGATATGTTGCGATGCATTCCTCACTTGATGTGTTCAAAAGAAATAACTAGAGATGTTGGCAAGTGTTATCTAGAAGGGCACTGACTACGAATTAACAAGGGCATAAAAAATGAGAACTTCCTTGTCCAACAAAAGGGGTCTGAAAAAATGTATGAAACATCTATATGATAAAATACTGGGCCAGCAAAAAACTGGAGTAGAAAGAATATGCTGAAAAATATATGGGAAAATGTTCACCACATATTGAGAAAAATATATATACAATATGACCCAGAGCTTAAAAAATATACTATGCACACTGTAAGGATATACTCCAAAATGTAAATAACAATCACCACTGGGTGGGTGGGCAGAGAGAGGAGCTATGGGCGATGCCATCTCTCCTCCCCCAAACACCTTACCTGTCCAATATCTCTGCAACTTGCCAGTGGAAATTAACTAATATAAGTTTAGCAACTGAATGAGACACCTAGAAAGAAGAAAGAAAAAAATCAAATTATAACTGTAGCTTCTTTCAGAGAGCTCCACATTTTGAGAAACACATACATTCATGTCTATAGCAGGCCCAGGCTTGATTTCAAATTCTTCTTGATGCTTTGCTTTGTCTTTTAAGTTCAGACTCTTATAATCTTAGTGATTTCCTGGATCTCTTTAATTTTTCTATCTTTGCTTTCATTAATGACCCTAAGAAATTAGTCTGAATAGAAACTTCAGCAAAACCACCCTGTCTACAGTAAACAACAACTCAGCATCCAATTTAAGCAAAACAGCTATGGGCTCCCTAATGTGATATTATGTTCCTCAAGCTGCTTTAGGAGGCCACAGGTTGAGAGTATACTTCTTGATACGCCTGTTACTTACGTGAAATTCTTGTATAAATCCAGCAAAACAAAACAAACAAAAAACGCTTGTTTAAATTTTCCGAATGCCTGGCAACCAGTGAGCCCTAATTGCAAGGATAATTTAGAAGTCTGTGGGCAGCCTTTCTGGCTCCTACACTCTCTTTTAAAGCACAGTGGTTATGGCTACCAAAGAGCCACAGAAGGTGCTTCAGGCTAGCTAGTCTACTTCAGTAAATTTTTCTGAGGAAACAGGATGTGTATCATAGTGTTTTTACAGAAGTAAAAAAAACATAAATAACCTAATGCCTAAAAAAATAAATAGTTATGTGACAGATTCATGCAATGTACTACTACGTAGTCATTGAAAAGGACACTGCAGAAGTAAGTGTACTGACATGGAAAGAAGTTCACATTTTAATGTTATGTTAAAGAACCAGTAGTAAGATAGTATGTATGTCATAGCCACCATATCTTGTTTTTTTTCTAAAACATGTTTTTATTGATTTCACAGAGAGGAAGGGAGAGATAGAAACATCAATGATGAGAGTCACTGATTGGCTGCCTCCTGCACACCCCCTACTGGGAACTGAGCATGCAACCTGGGTATGTGCCCTGACAGGGAATCGAACTCTGATCTCCTAGTTCATAGGTCGATGCTCAAACACTGAGTCATGCCAGCTGGGCCACCATATCTTGTTAATAGGGGAAGTAAGCTAGTTGCAAGACAGACCACTATGTGTGTCAAGACTGGGGGTGGGGGCTACAGAAGATTAAGATGTGCCTGGATGCCTAGATCAGGCTTCCCAGAGAGAGCACTATGCAGCATGAGAGTGCTATTGAATCAAGGAGAAACAAGGAACACACTTCAGGCTAAGGAGCCAAGAGAACACATAGAGCCTTGGTATTCTGCTCACTGGACTGTCTTTAAAAGAGGATCCAAGGATCTGTAAAGTAGGCATGCTGGCCCAAAAGTAAGAACTGCAGGGGAGAAGACACACAATGACCAACATGTGATCCTGCTCCTAGAGCTCAAGCCACTCCTGAAAGGAGACAGGTGCACCCCTACTGACAATGGCATGTTCCAGTGCATAATCAGTGTCAAAGGCTGTGCAGTGAATGACTGCCTGCCTGTCCTAAAGCCCAGGTACATTTGGAGAAAACCAAGGACTTAAGACAGCTTACTTCACTAAGGGTGGGGGACTCTACTTCCCTTCCATGCAAGACAAGAGGCATCTGACCCATGCATGTTGCTGGAGTATTTTCTTGTTGAGGCCCACAGGGACTTTAGACCTAGGACTCCTGAATTATAGTTAACATTTCTTTTAACTGTGATCATAACAAAACTATTCCTCCACAATAGACCACTATCACAAAATGAAAAGAGACAAAATATTTCATTTAAACTTTAATGGCTGTTTGAATGTAGCTTTTGGCTACAAATATTTTTTAAAAACCTGATAGTGATGCTGTTTAGGATAGGATACTGTTCACTGGAACCTTCTGTGTCATCTCTTACCCAATGGGGCTCTGTAAGCCCTATACCCATTGCTTTCTGTTCTGTCTTCTCAATGTCTTGCCACACAGTGGCTACCAGATCCTATCAAAGGTTTCCTGTACCATGCAGGAAACCCAGAGGATTCCTGGCCATATCCGGCAGCCACTTCACCTTATTACCACAGATGGCTTAGGTGAAGCCTTTAAGGTAAGAACAGGGGTAAGGCTGCCTCTCACAGTTCCACAGGACCCAGAACTGGACTGGTTTCAGGGTGGCCACTCAATATATGCTGATCATTAAATTACATCATGTCTTTAATCTGTGTCTTTTCAAAATGTAATTTCCTGACCTTCCTGAAGAAACAGAACTTTAACAATATATACTTGGTCTGAGCACTTGATCTCAACAACCAGCAGGAGCAACAAAGCCTCAGAATTCCCACACCTGCTGCAGCCCACGTATGGAAAACAACACGGCCCTCTGTGGAAACTGAAAATTTTACTGATGGCTGTAAATCCATTAATCATGAACTCAGAATACTGTAGCAGAGTTGAGTTTTGGTAAGAACAGGTAATCAGAAGAGAGGATGAATCTAGCACTTTATAAAAATGGCAGTGGACTGATGTCAATCTATTCTTTTAGTGCCAACAGTCAAAAAACACACCAATATAAACAAGACAGTAGGCATACACGTCAGCAGTATGTGCTTCCCACCAGCCTTCGGCAGGAGGTGCTACTTGTGGTTCATACACCATACACTGGGGTGTGAAAACGACCCATTATAATGCCCACTGTATATCATAGAAACCTGAAGGAATTAATTTAAGCAAGGCCATTAATTTAAGCAAAATGCAGTGTGACTGTACCTTGCCCAGTAATAACCACCACAGAAGTCGGGTTCCAAAAGGTTCTCTGAGCAAAAGCAGCACAGAGGCAGAGGAAGAGTGCCTAGAATAATATATGCTAAAAGATAGTCTCAGTAGGGAAACCACCCTCTCCCTGATTTGGGTCACGAGAGAGAACTGACTACATATACCCCAGCAGTCCCAAAGGAAGTGACCTCAGGTGATAATGAACAGAAGGGGGGGGGGGGCAATACTTAAGTCACCTTCAGCAGGTGGGCCAGGACATTGTTAATGATATTTAAACATTAAAGATAAAAATCTGTCTTTCTCAGAGTGCAAACAGGTGAGCTCCCTCAGGAAATAAGTACCTGCGCATTCACACCATTACTGTAATGCTCAAGGAGCTCAGCACTAATAGATTATGAATCTATTAGTCAACACTTCACAACTGGCAAAAGTCTTCCACTCTTCTGTTATGTATTTAATTGTGGAAAAAATAATCTTTCAGCCAAATCAAGATGAACTCTTGCTGATCTGTTTTGATCAAGAAACTAACAACCTGTTAGTAGTTAGGATTATTTACAGTGACCCTTAAACTACACGGGTTTGAACTGCACGGGTCCATGTACATGCAGGGTTTTCAATTGACCTATCCAGTTCAAAACAGTGTAGTTATACTGATTTTTGACTGTGCAGAGGCTGGTGCCCCTAACCCCGTTGTTCAAGGGTCAACTGTATTATCAAGAAGGACTTATAATGAAAAAGTCAAACCTTTTCCAAAAGGAAAATGGATCCAGGGTGGTAACCGAGAACTCAAAAACAGAAAGACTAATGATTTAGGAAGGAACACTTATGACCATGCCATATTCAAGATGAACTTGCAGCTCTATCAGGTTAACAGGTAATAAGATTACAAGTCTTATGTATTTGAGTCCTTTTTCTACTTCTGGAAACACTAACTGAAGACTGAAAACTAAGAACCAGGAAGTTTCTTATATAAAAATGTGCAGTCCCAAGGTATTTACTCATAGGTTAATCTGGGCCTTTACTCAGAGATAAGAGAATCATAGAGTCTACCATTCTCTCCATCTCAGGGGCCAAAAGGGGTCCCTTTCTCAAAGGGAATGGGTCACTATTTCTAGCATGCCTGGGAATCTCACCAGTTTACACTGCAAACCCCAAGCTGATAAGATCTGCCTTTGATGGCCACTTTGGACTTTCACAAAACATAAGTCAAGAACAATTATAATAAATTTAAAACAAAGACAAGCTGTTTTCCTATTCCTACTCCCCTCAAAAAAATCATGTTAAACTACACACAAGAAGCAACGAATGAAGGCATAAATAAGTGGAACAACAAATCAATGTTTCTCTCTCTCAAATCAATGAGAATTTTTTTTAAAAAGTGAGAATATAACAGTTTAAAAGTTGATTTTTTAAAAAAGCTCAGCAAAGTCAATAAAACCTTTAGCTAGAACTTAACAAAAAAAAAGGAAATACAAGTTACCAAAGCAGGGATGAAAGAACTACCCCTACAAATCTTACAGATATTAAAAGAAAAATAAGGTAATATTTTGATTTAATTAAAATACATTTGATATCTTAGATACTGACAAGTTCCCTAAAATACTTATCAAAACTGACACAAAATTAAAGAGAACAACTTAACAGTTAAAGACGCTGAATTTCTGATAAAAAAAAATTTCTCACAAAATTCCAGGCCCAGAAGCTTTTACTAGTGAATTCTATCAACAACAGTCTTACACAAACACTTTTGGAAACTACAGAAGGAAGAAATACTACTTCCAAAGTCATTTTATGACCCTGATACAAAAATATGACAACAACAAAGAAAATTACAGACCAGTATCGCCTATGAACATAGACACAAAAATCAATCCAAATATTTTAGTAAATTAAATCCAGCAATTAGAAAAAGGACAGTGTATCATAATTAAGTGAGGTTTATCTCAGGACTGGAAGGCTGATTTAACATTTGAAAATTCTTAATGTAATTCACTGAATTAATAAAATAAAGAGGAGAAAAACAAATAACCATTTCAGTAGTTGCAGAAAACCCAGGGACAAAATTCAATATTCAAACTCTCACCGAATTAAGAAGAAAAATAAACTGCCTGAATCTAATCTAGGTCATCTTTGAAAACTATTATACCCAATGATGAAACAGTGAATGCTAAGATCAGGAAAATGACATGGATGACCACTCACCATCTCATTAACATTATATTAGAGGTCCTAGCCAGGACAATGAGGCAAGGAAAAAGAA